GTAACTGCGATATTTTATTTGGTGAATTGGCCAAATCAATAGTCTGCTGCAACGACCAAACTACTGTTACGAAGTCGCAGGACAATCAGTCTCAAACCAGGAAGCTAGTACGTTTACATTCGCTATATAATGACTTCCTCAATGTCCTCACGTTAAGGGGCTTTAACAAAGGCTGCTAACCGTCTCCTAAGTAATCTTGACGATATTGAAGACCTAGCATCGTCCCAAGTAGTAGCTTTCCTATGACGAAGTCGACCGCATTTCCTACGTCAATGCGCTAAGGAAAAGCATCACAGATGCACACTCGCCATCCGGTTCGAAATGGAAAACGTCCAGAGAGCACTGGTTAAGTACAGTGAAGAAGGGGATCATTTTGATCCTAACATCTCATCAATAGAGGATGCACGTGAGAAAATTAATGCAAACACCGAATAAACACTTGAGCTACTTGATAGATCGACACGTTATCTCTTCAAGTTCTTCAAACTAAAGAAAACTTTAGAAAATGCAAAGTACAACGTTTCGAGTAGCACAAATTTCAGTTCTCCAGTTCTTAAACCTGCCACCTATCCCTATCCCAAAATTCAGCGGAAAACTATGGAAGTGAGACACATTTTAGGAAGCGTTCAACCACTCAGTGCACTCACAAAAAGTGGAGGATTTCTTGAAAATGAACTATTTACTAGATTCTCTTGAAGGGAAAGCGAAAGCTTTCGTTAACGAATACAGAATAACGCGAGAATCCTACCAGATATGGCTGACGAGATCAGAACTTTTGCTTTAACTGTTGATCAAAGTTTCACCAAACATCAGCTTGCAAAGGCGGGTGCTGCCGAGTGTGCGGTAAACGTGGACATCACACGTCTATTTGTAAGCAGCAACAACCGTTAAATGAACAGCATAATCAATCAGAAGTAGGCCAAAGTGAAACAAACGCGGTCTGTCAACACTAGTAAAAGCAAAAAGCCTACGCTATCAAGAATCAATACAGTAGAATCCTAACAGAACTATCAGAATGATATAGTCGTACTCCACGCGATGAAAGAAGATACAACGAATGTCCGTATGTCTCGGCCAAAAGGATAAGAAGTTCCTCCGTTATTATAATATTGAACTGTCAGTTGTGAGGTGTACGCTGTTACAGTCAGGATAAAATAGTTCATTTTCAAGAAGTCCTCCACTTTTTTTGAGTGCACTGAGTGGTTGAACGCTTCCTAAAATGTGAGAAACGCTTCCTAAAATGTGAGAAAAAAAAAGACTTCGTGAGAACTTTTCGTAGTTGACACAGGGCAATTGACACCTTTCGACACTCAAACTTAGTATTAAATCTTTATATACATAAAGGCAGTAGATTTTGTAATTACCGTTCAGATTCCCATCGTTCTGTTTGTGCTGTTGAAACATCAGCTACGGTACTGTCGTATGTATGTTATTGCATGGAAGTAAACGTATGCTGTTTAAGAACTTCGCGATTGCTGAGAGAGAAATCGGCAGATTTATAATCCAATGCTAAGGTTAATAGAAAGTCGATTTTGGGAACTGTCTCACCACAAGCGTTAGCTTCTAAACCGGCATTTGTCAATAGGCAGCGATGAGTTCTTCTACACGATAGCACATAGTAACACTTCGCACAACCTGCAGCCTAGAGGTTGAATATGATGAGCTATGAAACCTTGCCTCATCCGCGATATTTGCGGATCTCTCTCCTACCTTTATGAACAGTTCGTTTTGATTGCCTTATAACGGATTTGTTCTGTCATATTCCATTTTTATAGTGGAATTGCTTTATAGTAAAATGTAGCACGCCCATGAGAATGTAGAACAAAGAAGTCAGCGCGTGAATTTAAAACTGGTTTTGTAGTAAAATGTGTTAAGCGCATGAGAATGTTAAACAACTAAATGGGCGCATATACTTAAAACTTGTTCTGTAACAAAATGTAGTGCGTGCAACTTAATGTTTTAATAATTAACGCATAAACTTAAAGCAATGCCTAAGGTGCATATTTTCGAAACGTAAGAGCTGCACGTTACGTTTCCTCGATTCTTCGGTTGCACTTGGAATTAGCCGCATCCAGCAATCTACAGTTGTGCACAGAAATGTTGGCATTGCCCATCAGACCCGTTGAACTGTGAATTTCAATTTTCTTTTTTCTCACGTAAAAACATTGGAATGGGACGTGAGTAGCGCAGTGGTTAGTGGTGCGCATAGTTCCCCAATTCACGTGGGAACGCCTCAGCCTTGCTATCTCCAGAGTTACAAGAATAACTGATTCGACCAGCGTTCTGTAACATTCATAAAGAACGCGGAATCCTCAATGATCGGTTGACACAAGACGCGAAACGTTCGAGGACCTGTGTGGATGATGGACGCGAGGAAAATGTATCGAACGCAAGACCTTCCGGTACCCACAGAACAGATGTGACGACGGGTTATGTAAAGTAAAATAAAAAGAAAGAAACATTAGAATGGTGGTGTCGTGAGGATCAAAATATGCAATCCGTGCGTGAGTATAGTAGGCATGTGCGTGATCTAACCATCGGCTTCAACTGAGACTTCATGCTCTTGAAAAGACCAGTGGGAACACTAATGGATTGTCTAAATCCATTATGTGTCTCTATATCTCATTTTGTGCTCTTTCCTCAAGATTTTCAATCAGTATCGTCTGTGTGGTAGTGAAATGTAGAACAAAAAATTTTTAAGATTATCTCGATTTTCCCGAATGTAGTGACAGTTATACACTTTCAGAATCTCGTTAGTTAAGATCTTCCAGTTAAGAGAAAAACCAACAATACTAACTCATTAGGATCGCTTCGACTAGTTTTCAATAGTTCTCCACTTGCGTAGTAAGAGCTTCGTCGTCGTCTATAGGCTGTTTACGACGACTGTGGCCAGCAGCAGTGTTTGACCTTGTTTACGCCGCTCGCTGCTACACATCGATTTTTTGTTTCAGTTCCGGAGTTACGGCAGCGCATACGGGAATGGGTAAAGCAGAAACTGAGGAAATGATGATCGTTCGTCTTCATTTGGTAATACATACTACTCCGATACGGGGACGTACTCTCTCTCGCCTTCTTGTCTACGTTTGTTTGACTTTCCTGTAAAATTACTATCGATTTGCCTTTCTTTATTTATAGTTCGTACATTATGTATTCTTTACTTTTTCATGCAAGTGCTCCAACTATATGCATTTGTTCCCGTAAACCTCCTCTTTATCTGCTGTTATTTTGCTGGCATTAAGAAAGTTGCACATAATTTGAGTACACAAATATTTATAGCCATCTCTTAGGTCCCAGAAGCACTGTCGGTTCGTTTTACTTTCATTTTTCATTTTCTTTTTTTTATCTACCTTATAATTATAATATAGCCATCGGAACGGTTATCTGTTATCGCGTGTCTAACTAAACTACCAATATGCTTCTTACATTGTTCGTTTTAAGTATTGTTCATGAAAATTACCACGAAATGAGAGCTTTCTGTCTATTACAACGTACAGTTCAAATAATTTGGTACTCTGGTTAAAAGGACGTGGTTTCGTATATCCCTTTTAATGGCTATGTTATTACCTCATTTCCTTTTACAGCGGTGGACACATGTTCAACTTTTCAATGGGGTTTCTGTTAGCGTCAAGGCTAATGTTTAGAAAAGTCATATTGGGTTATCCCAAATACTCTCACTCACTCATTTGCTGCTCGGTAACTCTGTAATTCAAACCAGTTGCAAGAACCTCGTACTCAGAGTGATGTTATGTCTGAAGGAAATTGTCTTTACTAAGGTATTAGATGCGATCTGCGATGTGTAGAATACTTGAACTAGTCGATACAAGTTTGGCATTTGTCGTAGAACTCTGTTGTATTTCTTCGTACTCATCACTCTCGCAGATCAAAACGTACGTACTTGTGTTGTTTTTCGTCCCATAAAATCTTATCCGTTTGCTGTTGTAATATTGCAAACGTATGCCTGTCGATGTCAAGTATCTGTAATGATCAATGAGTAGGTTTCCATCAGTGCAACGTCCAGTGGAAATTGTCTCATATAGCAGTGCGAAGCAAATAACCGCTACAGAATTGTTGCAGTTGGTTAATAGCAGTAGACTTTGGGCAACTGACTACTGAAAGAATGTTGCTTCTATTGAAGTCGTTCAAGGTGGACTTATTTTTATGCATCAGAATGAAATTTTTCCTATGTAGGCTTTCTCCACTTTTGTTTTTCTCGTGTAGCTACCTTTCTGAAAATTACATGAGCCATCGTTGTTGTTGTAGGCACCCGTTCCAATCCTGAACGCTGCCATTGTAACTTTCCGACGACACAACAGCTCCGATGTAACATTAAATACGAAGGTATATTGATTTTTGGAAGCTGTTGATCTTGAGTGCCGTGTTATTTTTGTGAACGTTTAGAGACGAACACATATCAATGCTATCATCGTTATCTCTCAATGAACATCATGAATATAGCTTTGAAAAATAAGCTTGTAGTTTGTGTTTTTATACTTTCTGGTATGGTAACATTAAGGATAAACCTCTCGACGTTTATCTGTACCTTGAGGGATGCCCTATGCATTCGGCTTCATTAAGCATCGTTGGAGTTTAGTTAATGTGTATCTGGCCCATACAGTGACTCGCAGTGGCTTACCAATTTATCGAACCAGTGCTGTTATCCTCCCAGACAAGTCTGGCACCAGTTTGACGACCCCGGTGGAATGAAAGGCTTGGTGAGCTTAGGGTGCGAGTAACGATCCCACGTGTATTGCGGGGTGCCTCCGACACTGCGCTACATGCGCCGTTTGTGGTATAGTAATTGGCCTTTCAAACTGAGTTCTCTATTCGATGTCACAACATTCCAACGACGCATGAGGACGTATCCTTGAAAAGCAGCAAAAGTTTTTTTTAACTTTGTTCATATTCGTCACTTCTAGGGTTGTAAACTGCATAAACTCGACGAAGGACCAAATACGACCGTTTCTTTAAATCGTGAAGATGCCCTGCTTTACTATAGGAAGATGCAGGTGAATAATTGATTAGTGCGCGTATTTTATGCTTGGTCATACTTATTGTTTTGTCCAACTTGTATTTAGCTTATTCGTCGTATGGAGTCAGCAGCTGGGAATCTCTACAAGGAGAAGAAAATCCGCGGTTTTTGCCATCTATACTCTGGACAAGTGAAAACATGTTTTATACTCTTATTTTGGTTTTCTGTCTAAAGTTGACATCATTGGCTTATCTTCATGATGAGTTGAGCAGGATCCAGTACATGATGCTTCATACAGGTGGTATGTTCTTGCCTTGGCAAGGACTTTTCTTTGGATTCTCAATAAGCTTGTGCCAAGCAGTTGTCTGCTTATGGGGATCAGGGTATGATTTGCCATCGCTCAAGTAGTTCTCTTCCAAAACGTTGACGATTCCTGGCATTGATCCATTATTGCCTTGGCTTGACGGACGAGAATGTTGAAATCCTCAGCTTACGTTGCTTTACTGAGGATGTGGTTCCAACTGTACACCGAACCATTATATCGATGAATATCAGAATGGTTATCATAAAACGGGAGGCCAATGAGGGTTGTGATCTTTGTCCTTCCTTATTAGCTTTATATATCCCTCCTTATTAGTGTTTGATCGCTTTGTTAGAGTGTTTATATACGCGATAGCAAAGCTTTCGAGAGGAACATTTTTCAGGAAGCTTGCGCTGTGGGTATTAAATCGGCAATGGAGGATGGAGACGCTGTGATCACTTCGTATCGTTGCCATGGATGGGCTTTGTTGCAAGGTAGTTCGGTCGCCGAAGTCCTTTCTGAGTTAACTGGTACGTGTTTTTAGTGTCGGTTCGTTTCTCGGTTATGTGCTTCACTTTTGGGAAATCATAATTTAAGCTTCTTGATGTTGCGTCATTTATTCTGTTCATGACAGGTTTATTCACCCATAATTAAGATCTTATCGTTACGTATGTAAAACACAATTTTTGATTTGGATCTTTCGACGACGAAAGACTGCATGGTCATGTTTTGAGTGACAATGTAACTTGATATCGTTCGCAAAATCAACGTCGCACCACCTTATTCAGACGTTATGATCGCAGATTTTTATCAGAACATCCGGCTTTCTTGATTTCGAAGCAGTTGGTCGTTGATATCTTGGCTGTAGCCAATATTTTCACTTTTTCCGTTAGAAGTTTGTACAGAAGTTTACAAATCCGCGAATTTTGGTTCTATTTTGCCTACTTCCTTATTTACTTACTTGGACACTTGGATGAACCGTCCTCACTGGCTGTGCGGGCGGCAGTACAATGTCTATTTTTCGGAGTTTTGCAGGTTTTACCGCTGTGTTTCCCAGAAGGCCGAAGTCCAGCCTGAATAAAGTCTGCCCCTTGGTTCTGTTTTACGAAATACTCAATCATAACTGTCAAGAAGCTTACTAAATCCTGCTTACAACTTCCTACCTTTGTTTAACCACAGATTTTTGTTTGTTTGCGTAACTGTGCATTACTAAAATTGTACCTGTGACTCTTAGCTCGTTCTTGTCAAATAACTTGTTTTTTTTTCTTTCATCTTGGTGACGGAGCTATTCGAACACGAAAACGCCCAAAAAGTTCGAGGAAGGTGTGTCACCCATAAAAGGATAGAAAATATTTTTAGCGAAACACATTCGATACGATGCGACCTTGAACGGGCAAAATATATCCTGCTCAAGTTTATTTTGATCACAAAACGAGCAGAAAAAATGTTTACTTAACGGTCATTTCGATCAGCGATTATTGTCCACGAATTCGCGCCAGTAAAACTGTTTATTCGGCCAACTATGTTTGTAGCATGCTTGTGGAAAACTATGGTGCCATTTTCTAAGTATTTATATCTAATGGTATCATTTTCTTAAAAGTTTCCGAGATTGGACTTTCTTAGTATTCAGGACGAATCACTGGTAATGTACACGGTAAGGGTGGGTCCATGCATATGTACCAGAAGGACTTTTATGGAGGTAATGGTATTGTGGGTGCTCAGCAGACTCTTGGAACAGGAGTCGCATTTGCCATGAAGTACAGGTTGGTTCTAGTTCTCTTGTAGTACTCTTCTTTTTACGATAATTCTTCTTCGGAAAACTTTAGAAAGCAGAAGAATGTCTGCCTCACTCTCTATGGTGATGGCGCTGCTAACCAGGGTCAGCTTTTTGAAGCAGCAAATATGGCATACCTCTGGAATCTTCCAGTGCTTTATGTTTGCGAGAACAACGGTTTTGGTATGGGAACGACAGCTGAGAGGTCATCGGCATCAACTGATTACTACTCGAGGTTATTTGTTTCCCACTCTTTGTCATTTTTGTTATTGATTTTTCTTTGGAATGTTTCTTTTTTTCGTACACCGCAAGGCATTTCCTGTTAATATTGTTTATTTGGACAAAAAATTGTAGCTGTAAAAAAACTACATGGTAAAATAGAAGGGATTTGACATAATCGTACTGAACTTGTTCAGCTATAATGAAAACAAACTTAACTGCTTTGTGTGGGGCGTTTTTGAAACTCTGAGGGCCATGAGGAGTTTTGAAGTTGGAAACCGCAACGCCTTTGTGCGACCATTCACATCGTGGTAATCATTCAAATATGAGAATTCATTTACCTGTGAAGTGTGAAGCACCAGTTTTCTTTTGGAGGATTTTGCAAAGAATTTACGGTTCAATATTACGCAGACTTAGTTTTGTTTTTTATGAAATGTTTTCCATTGTTTGCTAACTTCTGTACTGTACATCTTTTCTAGAGGTGATTACGTGCCAGGAATCTGGGTTGATGGAATGGATGTACTGGCAGTGCGTGAGGCAGTCCGTTGGGCCAAAGAATATTGTAACGCTGGAAAAGGACCTCTTATGTTGGAACTGGCAACTTACAGATATCACGGGCACTCAATGTCTGATCCAGGAACCAGGTTCATGGTGTCTACTAGAATTTGGGCTGCATGAGTTATTTGAAAATGGAGGTTCCGAAATAGTAAATCAGCATTTATTGCAGCTATCGTACCCGGGAGGAAATTCAGGAGGTTCGAAAAACTCGTGATCCTGTTACAGGTTTCAAAGATCGCATTATTAGTTCTGGGTTGGTCACTGAAGAAGATCTGAAAGCTGTTGATAAGGTAGGATACGATTGTGGTAGTGTTTTAACACAGCTGAGATCGTTACGAAACCATGTAATTTTCAGGATGTGCGAAAAGAAGTTGATGAAGCCGTGCACGTAGCAGACACAGCTGGTCTTTTGCCGAAAGAGGGTGCCTTTACGGATATTTACCATAACACTCCCCATCAATTAGTAAGGCTTATCACGACATTGAAAGATATTTTTCTTCGTGTTTTAGGCCTTTAATAACTTTTTTTGCAGGTGCGTGGTGTCACGATTGACGATACACATGTGCAGAAGTTTTTACGTACAGAAGACATACTGAAAGCACATAATTGATTGTGACTATTCAAAATGGTGTCGTATAACTAAGCTGCAGTTTCCTCGTTTACCTCCTAGTTCACCGACCACCATTATGATTGCACTGTGTGAAGTTGTAATCCGAACTAATACTTTGTGAAGTTGTAAATCCAAGTAGTTTTTGAGGGTTAGCTTCTAGTTCTTGACGAATGTGTTTATTCTCCTACGTTTTCAGTAAAACGTAGTCCATTCTTATGGGAAACTAATAAATTTAGTATCTTGCGACCAATCCAAATAGTGTTGTAGTCCAATACTTCTGCACGTTGTCAAAAACTATACTAACAATTCGGAACATTGTTGTCACTAAGTTGGTCATACAAAATAGATTGCATTCATAGATTTGGCTACATCATTGAAAGGTAGTGTTGGTGTCGAATTGTTCGCGAGTAAGGGAATGCCTGAATTTGACCACTAGGTTACTATCATGTGAGGCTTTATCACCTGCAAAAAGCACGTGTGTTTCCTCATTAGGTTTATGGAGTGTTAAGCACTGGATTTTGCATCGGGCTCGGTCGGTCGGTCTTCTAAGCTTAGCCAACGCTGTGCCTAAGAATCACTGCCGTCCTTGACAAGTCGTAGTCGCAAAACGGGAAATATTTCATATAGTCCCTTTCATAGCCGGTTGTCAGCACGGATTGCAGATTGGTTGGCTACTATGCGATTCGCTTAAAAAAGGTTGGTCATTTCGTTTCTTGACGGCCTCTTTCGCTTCTAACGATGACGGGATTACGACGCGTAATAATAGTCATAACGACGTCGTTGTGATGCATGTAGACATTTTCTTTCCTTTCATGAGGTCGCTTTCGAGCATTTTCATCACTCTTGTAGTATGACAGGCTATTATAGTAGGAATCATTCTGAGTGATCTTGCGTTGTTCAGTCGACCACTATTATCGAACGGTGTTCTTTTACTAGTATTAAAAATTAATGGCTAATCCTGATTTTGGATCCGACTTGTTACATCCTCCTCGGACGATTGCTCAGCAGTTTTTCGGACACAGTGCCGACGCAGGCGTGCTCGTTGTGCTTGGGTTGTCTGCACGCGATGGAGCAAACTTCGCACTGATGTAGAAAGACCACGAAATGACTGTGATAGCTAACTTGCAACGTCCCAGCCCAGGTGTTTCGAGATTAAGGGCAAAGGCACGCTGGATCAGCACTTATCAGGTCTTTAAGAACTAGAGCCCAATGTTACTTAAGTTGCAATCGAACCATTGAACCCCGCTCTCACTTAACCTCCTCTGTGGACGACGACGCTGAAGCAAATACAAATGCGAACTGGTTCTTGGAAGGACATGGAAAAAATTAGAATGAAAATAATCAGTGATTTTAGAAATAATTTTTTTTATTTCTGGAATTTAGATTAGAATTCAGAAAAATTTTAGGAATAAAACTCAATAGCTAAGATTTTCATTTATTATTGTTGTTTATAATTTAGAGTTACAACGCCAATTATTTTCTTTTATACTATTTTATCCTGTCAACATCTTAGACTTACTTGTATAAGTATTTCCATTTTAGCAATGTTGGTTTTTCTGAGTGCGTTTAGAGCAGTGATCAGAAGTGCCTTACAATACACGTGGTCTTTGGTTCGATAACGTGCCCTGAGCTCATCAAGCCTTCCATCAATACTTTAGGTACTAGACCTATCTGGCAAGATAGCAGCACTGACTCGATACACCAGTAGGCCACTACAGGTTAAGAATTAAACTCAATAGTTAAGATTTTCATTTATTATTGTTCTTTATAATTTAGAGTTGCAACGCCATTTATTTCCTTTTATACTATTTTATCCTGTCAACATCTTAGACCTACTTGTATAAGTATTTCCATTTTAGCAATATTGGTAACAAGGAAGATATGCATTCAATTACTTCTAACGATATTGACGAAGTCGAATGCATGAAGCATCCCTTAAGGATTCATAAACGCCGGACCCTTTACCCTGTATCCTTTTAGCAGTATTTGCTTCAATATTACAATGTTATTATTATTATCACATCTGCATCTTTGGATTATCGTGGAGTTGTATTTTTTATAGATACCTGGGTGGAAATATTGTTCTTAAGCTGTAAGAGTTCTTTACTGAAGCGTCCTGTTAGGATTCCTTACTTTTTTCTTATTCTGTGGAGAAAAAATGGTTTTGAGTGAAATCTTCTCGGCGATCTTCCACTCCGTTTCCAGTCGATGATGTGTCGTCGAAGGGAAGATCTCGCCATGAAAAGTGTTACCAACCTTGTATAAACTTCTGGAAAATGAAACAGCAAAAAGGATCACGTATTTTATGCCTCGAAGAGTTGACGGAAATGAGGGCAAGTAACTTTATCACTTAACATCAGAAAAATCCACATTTGTGCTAAAAATTACTGAAGAAGTGTTTCTCATTCGAGAGGAGTGCAAGCAATGGAAGCTAGAGTTCCTTGGTACTTCTAAGCAAGAAAATGCTGTCGATTTGCTTGTACCTTCAACTTTTCACCGTTTACAAGGGCTTATTTTTAAACATCTGGAGTAATTTGCTTTATTCTTGAGTTTGCACATGGTTCTCACCAGAAACTCTTTATTATGGCCAACGTTTTGACGCCATCGCCTTCTTTGGGTAGCAGTGATTTGAGCCGAATGTCCAAGATGCTCCTTGCAATGTTGGTGTCCAGACTTTCCGCGTCGAATCGAATCCGATAGTGCAAAACACTGCATGAACATCCGAAATAAAATTCGAAACATTGCGGCTCTGATAAAGGCAAAGGCGCCGATACATTAGTCGCAATGAAGAGTTTTTGTAACAAGGTCGTAGAATAAGTGCTACAATAGAGTGTACACATTCTTGCCGACGTGAAATAAGTTTATTCATTTAGTGAGCTAAAATTCAGAAGTCCTGGAAGTGATGAATTCATGAAAGGCAATTTTTGCAGCGGTTTAGTTCTTGAGGGCTTTCTCAGAAAGCTGTTGTCGAGTTGCTTAAGAAAGTGATTATTGGTCACCGGGCGTAGCCCGTTAAGTGCGTATGGTTTACAAGCCAGAGTCTTCCCGTTCAGCTTCTCTGAGACTTCGTCGCGACGACGATCTCGATGCCATTCATACACGCGGCAACCACCTATTGAGCTTTTTAATCTTTCTAAAGCATTCCAAATTGTGAACGAATGTTGAATCGTAATTTTTGTGTTTTTGTACAAACCTTCAATTAGTTTTTGAAGAAACAGCTTTGATTATCGCTTTCAAACAGACAGTCGTAGTCAAATGCTGATGCGCACACTTGTCCTTTTCCATCATGAAAACATATCTCCGGTGCGACATCTTAAGAGCTATCTCTGCATTACGGGTTCGAAAGCCTTTCTCTGGCCTATGTTTGGTGACTTTTCGAATAGCAACCGCTGATTTGTGTCCAAGTTCGAACACATAGCAAAATGATTTTAATGACTTAAGAGAATCGTTTCAACCAGCTTAAAATCATTTCTAAATTAAGTATTGGAAAAAGTATTACACGTTAAGTTGCTAAAGATGGGAATAAGCTTTAAAATGACACATATCAATTTTACATACAGTAACCACTTATTACGAAATCTCCTACAAATTTTGTAACGACAAAGACGGCCCTTATTTCTACATCATCCTGATATGTGGCTAGGAAATGAGATTTCGTCGTCGTCTCTAAATGTCATTGTCATCGTCAGTCAACGTATTTGATCTTATAGCCGTTCATTTAATTGTACCCTCCGTCGGACTGGTGTTTTTCTTCCTTGACTCGTTTCAGCTTCTGGTGATTTTTGTTTGTAAAATTAAAAAGCTAACGGTCCTTCCTTAAGGTGTCGTTACGCGAATAGCTGACTCGTCATCGCTGAAAACCTGATGGTACAAGGCGGAGCGTCCCAGTGGTCGCAGTTGTCGAGGCGGCCAGCAGAAGTCGATGAGCAGTTCGTACGATGTTCGTGAGGAGTTCCCTAGTACAGGACACAGTTATTGCCAAGTTTCTGGTCCATGAAGTAAGCCATATGGCCGGCTATCGGGGTTTTCTGTCTTTTTTCAGTTTGAGTTTTTCGTCACCTGAACTAATAAGCTGACTCTGTAGTTAATGATGTAGAAAAGAAGGATTGTAGAAAGAGTTTTCGGTTTTGTAGCAGTTAGTAACGTTTCTTAACAGTTCTATCTGGTCACTAAGTTCCATTTTTGTCGATTTTTAAACTGTCGTAAGAATTCACACAATAAACAGTCATTCGATGGTCGTTCGAAGTCCTTATACTGAATTACACCATCATTTTTTTTATTTAATACATTTTTGTTTGCGAAATTTCTCCACATACCTTGTTACATATTTTACTACATAAAGGTGACACAAAGGAGTTTCGTACGATATATAAGACCTAGATAGTTTATTGTGATAAAATCATATTTTTCTCGGAAGGCCTCTCGAAATGAATGCAGTCGTCTTTCTGAACAGCCGATGTCAAGATTTCCCGATTCTGCCTATGCTAACAAGTGAATTGCTATTAACGAATATTTCACGCCGTAGATAAGTCGACCTGATCTCATCCATACCCATGCTTTTTGTAGTTTCAGTTTTTTGCTGCACTTCAGATCAACTTTTGATGTTTAAAAAACTGTGCGGACGCATGTAACGTACTGCTAAGGTGTGCTCTCGGTGCATACGTGATCGTCGGCAGGATCCTACGCCAGGGCTAACCAAGCCCTCCATCTCTTCGGTGTTGGCAAATTGATTGCAGAGTTCTCCGGAATAAAATGCCTTGATACAATGGCATGATACATCGATAGACCCATCAAGTAGCTGTGTACTATAAATACGCATACAATAACCTCTGCGATACTACGAGTCGATTAGAATACATGGTGGATCCCTAACAGGTTGATCAACGTCGAACCTCTTATACTTCTTTAGACAAAATGGAATAAAATGGTTTTATACTTTGGTCGTGCGCGAACACCATTTTATTGCTGGTCGGCTTCGCTTTCTTCATTTTCCTGAAACA